AAATTTGATGGTCTAGGCAAACAAACGCCTTACTCAAATCTAAAAATAAACCTATGGCTCGAGCATGAGCAAATTCAAAAATGGCCACTTGATTGGTTGTCAAATATGCATGGTGGGTGGGCAAATAATTGACATTTGTTTATATCACCATATCACCATATCAAACAGCTAGAGAAACTGGACAAAAGACTAATTGGTCGATACGTATCTAAATCGTTTAGATTTCCTTTATTTGCACTTGTTTAATTAGAGCTAATTTGAGCTGCTTATTAAATAGCACAAAATTTGTCTGTGTATTTTGTGTCACAGGGACAATATTATGATTATTTTCTTTGACATTGTTTTGACAGAGGATTTAAGCTTGCAAGTACAAATGATTGGAATTACGATTATCAACTACTATTAAAATAATTTGTAAAAAGGAGTACATTTTATTTTTAGTAAGTGGTAATTAAAATTATTTTTTCTGATTTCTTTTTTAGCGGCCAGCCTACTAAACGACCAATATTTTGATTCTATTCTAATATAATAAAAGATATTACGCGAAGAGAGACTTCTCAACAGTGTCAAACTTTTTTTCTACTCTCTACTCTAAAATACCAAACTACGCACTGATCAGGCATGCGTAGTATCCTTTAAAAAAGTATTTTAATCACAGCTTTGGTTAGCGGCTTTGACTTGGCACTCAGTGAATCTATTCGTATTGTTTTGTAATAATGTATCCAAAAACGAACGGTCCTAGAAAAAGTATAGTACGCAACAAGTTTCTGCAACAGTCATTCGCTCGGCTTGTGCCTAAAAAAATTCGTGACTAAAGTCTCCAGGTACTCTAAAACTATGCACTGATCAGGCTTGCGCAAGGTATCGCTTTTTAACATTAGCTTACTTAATTGCAAAGTTTTTATCTACTTGTATAGATAATATATTTACAAATTAATATTTTTTAAGTGGTCGATAGCTTTATCTCACATCGCATGACACAAAAAATCAATTTTAAAAGACAGAAACTAGATGACAATCATTTGTAGGTATAAACGAACTTTCTGTAAAAAATAAAAATGCTTTTATGAACAAAAATGGGTTTCAGGCTTATAATATAGACAAATGTAATGTTGAAGCGTAATGCTTAAAACTTCCTCAAAAAGTTTGGTGGCACAAAGAATAAACCGGTATCAGATAAAGATTTAAGATTGGATAAAGTGTCATGATACCTATAAAGGTAAATATAAAAATGAAAAAAATCATCTGACGATTTACTAAAAAGGTCCATACAAAACAATATGAAGACTAAAAAAATAGAATAACAAGTCTTAAGTGTATGTGGACTATAGATATAGCAAATAAAAATAACAATTTTTTACTTACAATTGTACCGTCATATTAGATGTAGTTGCAATATCAACCAAAAAATAAAATAAAAAATCAAACTTAGTAGTGGTATCGATTAAATTCCAGACAATGCTGCTAAAATGCGAGTCAATGAAATAAGAACATTTGTCCTATGCTATCAACGATTGAAAATGGTTTTCAATTAATGTTTCGCAAACAATTTAAGAGGAAATTTTGATATGTAATTCTAAAATTGTAAATGTCAAATTTTAACCAGGGCTTAATGATTGATAACTAAGGAAAAGAAAAAAAAGCAAAAAAATATTGAATCTCTCTCAGCTTATAAACAGTGTTGACTAACTATGATTAATATCATAAAATTTTGTAGAAATATTGTTTCAAATGTCATGATAGCAATTACGGCCGCATTAGGACCATTTCATTAACTCAAAAATAATGTGCGTTACTCTGGGCTTATGTACTTAATAAATGTAACTTTTTTCCAAATGTCTAGGACAGTCCGTTTCTCTAATACCAAATCTCGTTGTTCTCGCTGGGACAACTTGTATATTACATGGTAAAGTCAGAAAATTTGAATTTTAATTGGAAAATTTGGGAGGCGATTTGTTCAATATCAAAGATTTTAAAAATCAAAAATCACAATGTTTTTAAAAAATGCTCCAAATGACAGGTTTCCGTCCATTAGAGCATACGCAATAATGGTGCGTATGCAATAATATTTCCAATTTGAGAAGAACAGTAAATAATTGATTAATTGTTAGGGAGTCTGGCTTTCTGTGTTTCTAAAATGACGAAGACCTTCTTTGCTGATGCATTTTTATACCTGTTATCTGCTTTTTTTCAATGATTTTGATGTTCTAATTTTGATGAATTACGCTATCTGATGTTTTGAATTCTATAGACCTGCTCAAAGCCGAAGAAAAACTAGTTATAAAATAACGAAAGAAACATTCTTAATTACTAAATTATTTCTGTTATGATTACATATAGAGGAGGATCCAAAAAAAAAATGCAAATGAAAATAGACTTTTTTCTTATGGAATGCCCTGTGTACTGTACTCTTATATATGTTCCCTTCAAATGCTGATTTAGAAAATACTTTACACATTATTGTCATTTTTGATATTTAAGTCAGAAAACGCCAAAAACTAAAATTTCACTTAGTAAGCCACGGGTCGCCATTTTTTTTTTCATTCGTCGTTTGATTATATGTTTTGACGTATTTATTAAACCATTTTGAGAAAAGTATTTTTGAATTGTTCAATATTTAATATCTACCATATAAACAATAACAATTATTATTAATATGATTATAAAACATTCAGTTCTGCACATATGTAGCGCTAGTTTAGGTTTTCTATAGCTTGATTAATTCATTTAGGCTGACTAGTATTTATATAATTTATTTCAGGCTTAATTCCCTCGTTTATAATATTAATGTTTTGTTGCCTAGTAAATCAAATTTTGTTTTTTATGACCGATGATTTCTGGAACCATAAAATCTGTCTTCCGATCCATTATCTATATTTACTGCTGAGATTACTCGTACCACATTGGGTGGAGGTGCTCCATCTTGTTACCAAATAATTTTGACAGCTTCATTCATTCATATACTCTTCTATATTTTCTGATATAATCCTTTCATATGTATCATGTGATAATCCACGTAATGCACGCATATTATGCATTAATGCATGCATATTATGATATTATTCAGTATTTCAAAAATTCTGTTTTAGTCCTCAATAAACTGTTTTATATATTTCAAATTTTTCATTTTCGAAACAGATAACACAAACACAAACCTATCATAGTAATAATTAAACAAACAATGGAACGACTAATGAAAATAATGGCGAAGCATGCCTACTAAGTGTAATTTTGGCATTGTCTGCCAAAATTACACTTACACTTACACTGTGTATGTGTGTGTGTGTGTGTGTGTGTGTGTGTGTGTGTGAATTGGGGGCTTTGCGGATGACGTTGCGGCTACAATAGAAATGGACAGTGTCGAAGAAGCAGAACTATTAGTTCGGGAGACCACTGACACCATCGAAGCCTGGCTTGAGAAACACCACCTGACACTTGCCAAGCAGAAAACAGAGATGGTTGTACTGACTTGACAAAAATGGTTCCCTAAACCATTCACCGTAAACATGGGAGGTACAACTTTGACGTCAACGAGAGCTTTACGCTACCTAGGGGTAATGATAGACGAAAAACTATCTTACCGTGAACACCTTGATAGTGCATGCCAGAGAGCTAGCAAGACGGTATCCAGCTTATTAAGGATCATGGCCAACACGATGGGACCACGAAGCAAAAAAAGACAAGTCCTTCGCGAAGTAGTTCACTCAGTACTGCTCTACGGAGCAGAGATATGGGCGGACATCCTAAAGCAGAAAACATACAGGCGCAAAATAGCAGCAGTGCAACAAAGAGGCGCTCTTAGGGTTGCCTGTGCATACCGCACCGTCTCGGAAGCGGCAATACTGGTCATTGCGGGAGCAACGCCTATCGACCTATTAGCGTTTGAGAGAGCCAAGCTCTATGACGCTAAAAGTAAATGCGACAACTTCAAGGAGGTAAAAACAAGGATAAAAGCGGAAACTCAGCAAGAGTGGCAGGACCGATGGACGACGGGGGAGACGGGCAGATGGACGGAGCGTCTGATAACGAACAATTGACGACGCCGAACACACGTTCTTCGAGTGTGCTCGGTGGAAGGACTATAGAAGTAGCACCGAAGAGATCATAGGTGCCAGGCTCTCCCCCTCAAGTCTGGTGACGTCTATAATCAAACAGGAGGGAAACTGGTCGGCTGTTGCAACCTACGCACAGCGCCTTCTGAAAGATAAAGTTTCAGTTGGGGCGCAACACGGACTGGATTGATGTAATACTAACGCGGTTCCAATCCAGTCCTCCCCCTAAGTTTACGATGACGGTGTCTTTTGAAGATTTTTTTTCGTACCTCTTTACAAAAAAAAAAACACAAACACACACACACACACACACACACACACACACACACACACACACACAGGTAATCATATATATCCCACTTCCTCCTGAAATTTATTTTGAACTATGAAGTTTAAATACATTAAAAGCGTGAAATATTCTGTTGACCTGAGCTTATATAACCTAATTCCAAATCAGGTCTCAAATTTGCTGTTAACAAATTTTAAAGTCAAAATAAACCCATTTTTATAGACCATTGTTTTTATTCTGATTTTTAATAGTGTTGTGATCGATATCTTCCAATTTTTTCTTGTTAATTTTTTTTATTTGTTTTGTAATAAAACAGATTTTTATACCTATTTATTGTAGATTTCATTGAATCGTATACATTTTCTTTGTATTTGGACGAGATTTATTTTTTGTATATTAAGAGAGTCTAATAAAGAATCTAAGAAAAAATATGTTTTTATATTACTTTTTGTTATCACCCTGTATATGTGACTATAACATGGAAACAAAAACTTTCAGTTGTACCCTACAACTTTTACGTTAAACTTTTTTTATAATCTGAAAGAAAAAAGTTAGTGGGTGGACATTTATAATGGTACACCCTGTATATATTTTAATTCACATCAATTCACGGTTTAAATAATAAATAATTATATATCATTTTCAGTGTTATTTTAAAGGTATTTAATGAAGAAACAAAAGAGGAAAGAAGCGTAAGCACAGTAGCGAAGTTAATGCCCCAAGATGAATACGTTCAGAAAATGTTCAACAGTAGGATTTCTTTCCGCAACGAAATAAGGTTTTACACTACAATTGCACCATTATTCGATAAGTATCTAAAGGATAAAGGCGTGTTGGAAGGCTTGGATTTTATTCCACAAGACTTTGGTAGCCGCTTAAGTTTGGATCCGGAACTTGATGAAACTGATGACGATGTGGTTCTACTGCTAGAGAATATTAAAGTGCTGGGTAAGTTGGCAGTAGCCTATTTTCTGTAACGTCAAAATAATCCATATTTTATTGTGTAGGGATTTAAATTCACTCTCTAAAAACTGTATCTCGAAAGTAGTATCACAGAAATGTACGACTAAATTGGTCATATAGAATTGGTAGTAGTGCTAATTCAATTCTCTACAGGGTCGGTAAAGTCAGTAGGTTAGTAGTGTGGAAAAATTTCTCAAAAAATTATCCATTTTGAAAGGAACTTATAACAGGTATTAGGAGCTATCAGTTGAAAAACACTAGTAAGAGGAAGATACGCTTCATTTTAATTATACAGGAACATGTATTTCTTGAATATTGTTTTGAATATAAAGAAATATTTTTACTTACCCACTCAATTGAGAACAGGTTAAAACTCTCGATCAGTAGAAACATGCTGTCTTAAAGCTTAGTGTATCATAATCTGATGCCAATGACGTAATGACAATAATTATGATACCATATATTAATGTAATTTTTTTTATTACAAATTTGCAGTCCAATGAAATAAAAAAGTATGGACTCGTTTTTCTTCTGAAATCGATAACTTAGCAGTAAATGGTTGTAGAAACTTATATTGCGAAGCAAGTATTTCTAGGACATTGAAAATCAATCAATTGTACGTATCTGAACAGTTTTGATGGCTTCTCAACAATTACAAGTGATCGGGTATATTTCGTAAAAAATTAGTTCGCTACCTGATAAATGGTCATGATTGTAATAATGGTATTAACGTTTTTATCTTCTCGTGGGCATTTTTGGGCCAGTAAATCAATTCGGTACGGGGTAGTAATAAGGCAATTGAAACCCAAAATATATGAAAACACTCTGTTATATTGCTTACTGTATAATGGTAGTTATATATAGTAGTTATATAGTTTCAATTATTTACATCACTATCATCCAAGGAGATGATAATTAATGCTTATACGTTGTCTCAAATTTTTTTATAATTATTTTCTACTTTAAGTGCATTTTTGGGTTTATGTTATTGCGTCTAATTTTGTTTTAAAAATTCGGCTCCTATCATTTCTATAAGATTCTAATCGCGGTGATAAGGTAATGCTGACTAAGGAACTGTTGCAATACCAATTTTTGCTGTCGATATTGGTGCTTTTTTAGCTAAAGTGCGGCGATAACCAGCATTATAATAAACTATTAGGGAAGGGTGGGGCAAGGCGGCCCACTTAAGCTTTTTATTATTTTTTATGGCTTTGAACCATTAAGTTAATTTATTTTATTTAGAAGAAGTCCGTTGTGCCTCAGGGTGGCCGTCGTGCCCAACTCTCCACTATTTATAATGTTATATATAATAATTATAATTATTTATTAAAAAGTATTTAATTAAAAAAAAAACGTTACTGATTAGTAACTATTTTTCCATAGATTAAAAAATTTGTTATTGGTTTTTATAATATTTTCGACAGCTCTGGCTTAGGCTAAATCCGTAGAATTATCCAAAAAAAAACACTTCCAATAAATTATGATTCGGTTATAATGTACAAATATACAAATAACCAGAATTTATAACTATTAGAAGAAAAAACCAAAAAATTAGTTAATTTTTGAGGGGGGCCGCCTTGTCCCACTCTCCCCTACGCTGCCAAATGCGATATTCCGAAGAAGAGATTTTTTAACCAAATTTTCAAAAAGTTTAGTTTTCATGTCCGGATGGCAATTAGATGCAGGTACATTCAGAATGCAGTTCGATGAGAAATTTGACCACCTTGTCTTTGTAGTGTCATATGTTTCGTTTTTCTACGTGAAATTGATGAATTTCAGTTGAATATTTTTGTCTCAATGTCATCAATCGCAGGGTCTTCTCTTCACTCTGCATCGCAGTTAGTAAACACTTTCTTCCTTGTTTTCTAGTAAATCATTATCAAGGAATCGACACAAGAATGACCTTCGAAGACCTGCAACCTAATTTTACGATAAAAAATATAAATTATTAGGGGATTTTCTTTTCAATGTTAAAGTCTCGGGAATATTACAGTAAACGTTTACTGATGTGTTTTCAAACAGTTCTTGAAAATGCAAGTACCTACAAGTAATACGTGCAATTGTGCGATAATAAATATAGATTAATAAAGATGAAAATATCTAAAAATAAATAAAGATAAAAATATAGGTATCTAAATTTTGCCTTCATATACTCGTAAACCGATTGTCTTGCAGTATATATTCAAATGACACTTTCCTCTTGTTATGTTTCTCTCCTCCATTCCGCCGTCGAACTTCAACTTCAACCCACAGTTTAAATATAACAAATAATGGCTGTAACACTACTAATGGCAAAGCGTAAATGATTTTAAAATTTCCAAGGTGTCGACTTGCAGAAAATATGAAAATGAACAATATCAAAATTAATGTATAAATGCACAGGAGGAAGTCATGGTATCGCATAAAAAAAGAAAACCTGGGCTCTAAGCTTGCTTGAAATGATGGTGTGTTTCGTATAACTCTCAACATACGTATTTGAAAATTAGATCAACTAGCACTATTCTTTTTTCAAATTACTAAAGTAATTTTTTATAAAATATAGAGGTGTGGTATTAGAGATAGAAATAATCATACATTTCCAATAGAAAGTAGCAAGACATTGAACAAAGCAATGAAATTTTAGAGAAGAGGTTAGGAATACCGCAGAGTAGTATATTGGGACCAATTATATTCATTTTTTATTTGAACGACCTATTAATTGGTATTGATAATTTCTTGGTTGCAAACTTTGCGGATGACATGACCATTCGTGGAATTAATTTGTGGTAGAGGTACATAAATGAATTCTAGAAAGGAACCTCATATATAAACGGTATGGACAAAATTAAATTTAAAAATTAATTGTCTATTGTGCTATATTCGAATCTTTTGTGCTATAAGCAGTAATATTTAAGGGTAGTGATTCTGACATAAAAATAGTTTTTATTCTACTAGCACTGCCCATGTAGGATGTAATTAAAACTCAGTGTGAATTAATACTAGAGAATAATTGAAGAGAATGTTTTAAACCATTAATTATATCCTTGGATGATAGGATTCTTCTGATGACTAATCTTATTTAATATATATTTATTAATTATATAATTACAATTATACAGTAAGCAATAATTGTTTTTCGCACTATAAACAGAAATTTGTGTCAACCGCAAAAGATGTCAATAATACAGAAATTACACTTACACACTTACACAATAAAATACATGAAATACACAATGAAATAACGTGCAATAGTATGGCTATTTATATGTTTCTATTATACTATTTTTGCTAAAAAACGTTTATTATAAAAAATATTTTGTTTTTAACAATACGCTTTAATTTAGAAAAACCAAAAATCAACAAAAAATGTAAATCCCTATATATATATATATATATATATATATATATATATATATATATATATATATATATATATATATATATATTTATATACATATATATATATATATATATATATATATATATATATATATATATATATATATATATATATATATATATATATATATATATATATATATATATATATATATATATATATATATATATATATATATATATATATATATATATATATATATATATATATATATATATATATATATATGATGACACT